GTGTCAGATTCACGCTTGGTCTGGCCCTCCCGCCTGGTCATTCAGCAAGTTTGAGATCAAATGTGGTAAAGACACTTGAAAAATTGTGAATTAGTAGATGATTGTTGCCACCAAAAATCAAGCTTTACACTTGCACTTGTGGTAGTTGATAGTTGAGGTTGGTCGGGCGTAGCTGGAGAACGCGACCCGAAAAAACAAGTAGAGTGCGAGGTTGCCTTGGTTGGCTACGTAATCAGGTCCACAGCTCTCGACGGCGTCTTGGTCATGTGGTTTTAGTCCGCGAAAGTGGCCCTATTCTTTACAGGGTGCGAGATTCACATACTCACGGAGAGAGGGGAGGGTTTTCGGTACTGTGTTGTACATCATTGATCGCGAATGTGCATTGTCAGATGGACGGACATGGACTACTGGCTATATTAGGCTTTTAAAATTGATGAGGACAATGTCTGTCACAGGAATAATTTGAAGTGAGGTGATCACGGATCGAAGTGGTGCTGGGCAGAGCTCATTAGTGAGCTGAAAATCTCGGTATGGAGTCAAATGGTTTTATAAGTTACGATAAGCTAACAAGCAGACCAATGTTACGCTGCATTTAAAGGGTACGCGACCTGGCGATTCAGACAGATGTGAGATTTGAAACTAGGTGCGGTGATGGTACTTCTCGATTCCACGCATGACCTTCCATGAGGCCGTGAAATGTAAAAAAGTAATTAATTCGACTGTCCGGTGTGATAACTCTGATGTGGTCGAGAAGGACTAGCGGGAAGCTGGGGACATACCTGAATCGCGCGTGATATTTGCAAGCCAGAATTCTCGGTCGCACGTCTGTTAACATAAACGATGCCAAATGTGATGAAATTGTTTATTCTTAAAGCCAATTTGAAGAAAAGCAGAAAAATCCACGTGAAAGAAGGTATCGCTGCGGGCAATTCCGTCCGATGCTGAAAAAGTACGACTCAGGGAAAGCGCTCTGCAGGACGCCAGCAAGCAAGCTCTTATGTTACGGAAAGTCACTTTTTGCTTAAGGCCTTATTTTAAGGAGCGATCATACGAAAAATAAATTATCCTCTGAAGCCTATGAGGCAGCGTAAGATGGAAAGTCAAGCAAAGGCGGTGGCTCAATAGTACACAGCGCTAAAAGCAGAACACATCCAGATCAAGAACGCAGACGGGAACTCTGCTTTACCGTTGTTTTCACTCGTGAAACAGGGAACAAACTCCAGAAAGTGGACCTGATGAACGAAGTCACCGCATTGACGCACTCATGCCAAATAGCGCTTTTAATCGAGATGCTTCATTTCCGCTGCTGGATCCGCGCAACTCAAACATTTCGCTAGTAGGCGATCGACTTTTGAACATTACTTTATCGATGGGTGTCCCAATTTTAATCGTAACCGCTTCCTTCAAATATAGGCTTAGTAAACGATGCAATGGTGAAGAAAAAAACGGAGCGAATGACTCAGGAACCTTTCTTAACTTCTACCATCCCCCCCTGGCCGTTCGGACACGCAAGGAACACGAAATCCTGTCATAAATATCCAATCCCGATAAGCTTATATATCAAACCAAAGTATCTCCTCTCATGATGAACGATTACCCAGAAAAGCTAAACGACAGGCTCAGCCTGAAAGGCCTTTCAAAATGATGAGGAAGTATCTGAAAATACTTGGGACGGCAGGCCTTGCCACCAGAGCGCGAGCCTGCCTCACAGTCCACACGGGGCGATGTACCGGGAATCAGAAAGTGGATAGCGACTGCATAAGGGCAGATAAGAGGCGCTTGAATACGCAATTTCACGAAATTCAATAGGCGACGCGTCGCGGAGAGCAGAGGTTGATGCAGCATGCATAGTCTCGACGTTATCCCTGTTAAAACCTCGGCATGGATCGCTCGTTAAATTGATGTTTTCTGTCGCCAACGAGATAGCAGTTTGAGACTTCAGTGAGGGGTATTTGCCCACTACTAATATTACTGACAGGCGCGCGAGCTGATGCTCCGCAAAAACAGTGGGACCGTTGGTGAGTTCGTTATCGTGTTGGTGTGGTTCCGGAGTGGTTGCGGACACTACTCAGGGAACGGCTGGTAGAAGGTTGGGGAGGTGCTTGGTCGGGTTAGATTACAAGATCAAAAAAGACTTGCGAGCTATCTGTCAGGCCTCTGAAGAAGACGAGAAGGTCGAAACGTCAGGCCAGTAAGTAAATAGGTGCCATTAGTCAGAAGCCTCGTGTGGCACAGAAAACATCAATTTAGCAGCCATGCATATTTTAAAAAAAAAAAAAAAAGAATGAATGATAAAAGGGTAACGGGACATTATGTGGTTGGGGTCCGAAAAGCGAAAAACGACCGACGAAGAAGACTGATGTATCGTATGCTACAAACGTAGCATGTCAAACTTGAAACTGGATTCTGAGATAATGGAATTTCATTTAAATAGTCATTTTCATTAGCGGTTGGTAGTATGGACTCCAGCAGTTCCAGCGCTTTCCACGCTTCTAGAGGTTCATAAGCTGTCGGGGAGTTCGTGCATTAATGGAATTGCTCGAATAAATACCTTTAATGAATACTGGAGATTCCGTTTCTGGACTATTAAAACTATTGGACCGCCTAAAATGTCGCTTCATACTCGTACGGGGTGGTTGTTTACATGCCATCACTTCAGCTCCGCACTTTACTGCCGCTTACGCAAACGTGAGATCAGCCAAAGATGAGCAGCCTTATGCAAACGGGACAGCAACGCATTTCACGAAGCAGAAAATAGTTCAGAGGTGAAACGAGATGCCCAGCGGCTTAGTCAGTTCTATCGGAGGCCTTCGCGTTATGCTCCGCAGTAGCGTGACGGAGCCTAAACATGGTAGAACATTCATTTCTCTGCCTCTTTTATTTCGGAGGCAGCGCGCTTAAAAAATCTGATGTATGTTTTTTTCTACGAGGGTTATCCAGACGGTGAATTGTCTAGGCAAACTCCCTATGCGAGTTTTATGCCGAGCTAGAATGAAGATATCACAACGTTAAAAAACAATGCGTAACTTTTGTATGCTGACAAGCGGCCAGCGGTTCTTTTCATGGCCCCTGGCACCGAACTCGTCGCTCAGGAATGCGGCGGTTGGGTGCGCGGAAGACTTTTTGCGCATTTTTGTCTGCTCATGCCTCCTGTGACTCTGGTGTTTCTCTCTAGCCTTAAACGAGCAGTGCCTCCCAGGATGCTGCCTGCTGTTGGTTCCTTAACTGTCTCAACAATTAAGGGAAGGAAAAGGCTTTTATTTCCTTAAAAATACCGGTTTTTTCATTGGTTGTGGCGAAGACCCACTTAGCCCGGAGGTCGTGTTTGGAGCTGACTAGGGCCAAGGCATCTTCTCTGAAAGCGCCGAAGTGGTCTGTCGTAATAGTGGAAGTTGGAAGGAGTCATGCTTGCGACGAAAAGGTGGTTTTTTTTCTCGGTTTTTTGGCAATGTTTGGCCGAAAGCTTCATGAGATAGTGGTAAAGGGAAGAGAACAATTGGTGAGGAAATCAGAGAAGAATTCGCTTGTATTTTTTCAAGACATACTACATAACCTCTCGCCTTCCCTCCCTTCGCTCTGCTCCACAAGCGTTTGGAGGAAAAAATTTGTGAGCGGATTAAACACGTGTCGGATGCTTGATGTCGCAATTTGAACACCGTAATCCGAAGTGGTAACAGAAATGGTCGTTGAGAATGGTTGTGATCGGCAGGTGACGGAAAACTCTTAAAGACCGATGTATGGAAGGATAGGGAGCCAGTATCAGCCACTATCCCAAAGGGGTCGAAGGTGTCGCGAAAATTTTGAGAGAATTACTAACGCCATTCCGTATAACCGTACGTATGAAAATAGTAGGTGGCCCTTATTGGATTTCTTCACTCTCCCACTCAAGCGGCTCAATTAGGAGTCATAATTGTGCGTGTACTCTTTCCGCCCTCGGAAGCACTGCTGGCGTGCACTTCCTAGCTTACCGATTTCCACGTGGGGCGTCGATATTCCCGTATTTCGAAGTCTCGTAAGCCCTATGACCTCTTACGTGGCGAGCGGGCATCATAGCTGACTGATGCAGGGATGTGCACGGTGGACTTGCTGAAATATGACGTTCGCAGTACTCACGGTCGGTTTTGACTGTAGCTTGTGAATGGCCTGCTGACCCTACTTTTTGGTTTTGGACTACGGCGCCAAGTAATTTCGGAATGCCCCACTACTTCTCTTACGGGCCTTTAGGTTGACGTATTGAACAGCCACTCGACGTATTGGCCTACTTACTCCGTTTCGGCTTTAGTGCGGTTATTTCGTTCATCTTTTTTCTCTGCTTCATTTAGGTTTAGGTTCTCTTATCTGCTTTCACTGTTTTTTATGATTGTGTGGATTAGCTGCTTTATACCTATGCTTTTACAGGGTTCCTGTTTTCTTAGAGAACTCATTGACCTAGCTATCAGAAAGGTTTTATCTTCCTTTCTTATTATCACCTGTTCCTGTTAGTGGAATCCGATTTGAACACGTTTCCTGCGCGTTTCTTACGATGCGCACGAGAATAAATAAAGTAAATAAATAAATAAATAAATAAAAAAGAAATAAAATACTAAATAAATAAACGATTAGGGCTAGGGCAAACGAGCATTTCTTTTTGCGTCCATTTCCTATTTGACCACTTTTGCCAATCACAGCTTCTGGAGCTTTGGGATTTTAAATCACGCTAACACATCCTTACTGATTCCATCTTTTTAGGCTCCCGCTGACAAAGACGGCTTTGGGGAGATGAGCACATCAACATTTGAGATGCGTTTTTTCTATAGTCCTTGTCATGTGTGGAATATAGGTTGGTCATTCTCGTGAATATGTGACTGTCAGCATTGTTTGAGCAGCACAACTCCAGCAAAATACAATTCAAGAACAAGAAAATACGATAATGAGTGCCGCTTTATTTCTGTCTTGCCGTAGTGAAATACTGTTGACGCAGTATCACATAAGAACTTTCTTAGAAAACAATCCGAGCGAATCTAATGAAGAAACATTGTGTGAATATTCAATAAACCTAGTCGAACTAGAAAGAAGCACGCATTGAATTGAGTGCTGTTTGTCGCAAGTGACATCACCTTATTTATCGTCATGTATCCAGGGAGATGGCGGGAATCATGAGTGCCAAGCATCTGACTTGCGCGCAACCCTAAAAATGGAAGAATATGCCATAGACTGATGAGTTTAGTAGGAGCTTTGTTGTTGGTAGCTCAATTTGCGTACACATCCTTTCTCCGCTGATTGAGGAGAATTCCACGTTAAGAAAGAAGATCGAAGAAGCAGAAGCCTACCTAGTGGAGAGGCAGGCGTACCTCCTCAGCGTGGTGCCTGACACGCAATTCGCATCGAAGGACATACCCCGGCCATCTAATACAATAGCATGGCCTTTCTCGAGGCCCTACTGGCGCGCTATTGGACCGGCACGCCTCACTCTTGCGTCATCTTCTGTCTGAGTCTTCAGCTGTCCAGCTGAGAGAGCGTTAGCGTTGATGAGGGCAACGCCGATGAGAATCGCATCAATGCGCAAATCGACGGGCGAAGAAGCCTTATTTTCGGGTTCTAGACCATTTTTCTCAGTCAATCTTCCTTATCACTGATCACCTAAAACATAATTTTAATGGGTTGCCTTTTTATCGTGAAATCCGCCATCAACAATAATGCGCAACTGGAGCATTTTCCGAAAGTAGCGTGTCATCTCGCTGCAATCTGCAGGATATGGCCCAAATGTACTGATCATTTCGCCATTATACGCGGTGCCGCGCCTCCCGCAGTCCAGCGTTTCTGCCGCAACAACAGCGGCAACTATTCCCTCTTTTTACAGTTCAAAAAAAAACATCAACGTTATGGTAAATGCAACATAACTTCTGAACTTACCTTAGGGAAGAAGCAGTTCCTGTTGCGAATTTACTTTGCCATATTAATAACGGCTGACACAGTATCACTCGGAATTTCTCGTGGAAAACAATCAATATGAATCTAAATAAAAATTTTGCTCCGACGTTATGAGAGTACGATCAAATCCAAACAAACCCGTCTACAGCATGCGTTAACTCCCACGCAAGAGTTGTAGTGGCAAAAACAGCAAATTTTGTCGTGACCATTCTGGAGATGATATGGAAAGATACTGATATCAGTATAAAACCGCTCGCTTGCAAACATCCCTGAATTATTTTTCACGTTTCTAGCAGATTTTAAAGCTTCTTTCATTCCAGCTACACAACTTAGCTTCTGTTTCATTACATCAATGAATTGCATGTCTTTTTGTGGCTTTTTAGGTGTCTATTTCCTTCAATACTGATCATTTTGGCTCTCTGTCATTTGGTCAATCTCACTCCATTTCATCAACCTCATCTTATTGATGAGGTTTAGAGTAGAAAAGTTTCGTCCGAGGAAGACGCCACAAAATTCTATTCTGTGTTCACTGTCGTGTGTCATGTGTGTCTCATTTTTCCGCATCTATTCAAGAAATCGGGTGAGTACGTGGCACTGATGGAACTGCAAGGGTTGGTTTCCTTGGTTAGGATTTTCCTCTACATATTGGTGGATCTTAAGAATTGTTAAGGGGTTTGTCCGGTTAAGGTTAAAGCTAAGAACTTCAATCCGACTTCAGGGCTAGAAGAAGATGAATTCTTCGAGACGTCGAATGGATGAAGGAGTTCCATGGTGACATCCTGCACGGCAGAACAACAACATCAAGCAATATTTCAACATGCCCAAGTTTCAAGAAGACCTAGCATAGAACATTTTGAGGGTTCACTTAATACTCTCGCATTGTTCTTCGTTAAGAGGAAATCAGCAGAAAAAGATACTGGACATCTAACCAGGACAAAGCATCCACACTCCCTTATCTACAGAACAGGAGCGGTGGGGCTCCCAAAAAGTTCGTAATGTATAAATCAGACGGTGAAAGCCATGAGAAAGTAAGTTGCTCTGGTACCAGCTATTGCTGAATGGTAAAAGGGACGCACCCAGGGAGGGAGAGGGGGGATGTGGTGCTGATTACAGGAAGTACAATTTTTGCAGGGAGGAAATCCCCGCGGGACGTGAAACGTAAAACATTTTGCTTTTGCCTTCACATCCACAGTGGAGCTTCCATAGTGAAAAAATAAATTGGTTCAGGTTATATAAATTGTCACACAATATGCTCTCGCTACTGAGACCCTAATAAAGAAAAGAAAGAATAAATATCCCTTGAAGGAGAAATGCAGTTTGGAGGGAGGGGGAGCGGGCCACTTCTTGCTATCTTATACTTGGAACTGGAAATTACTCCTTCAGGTTCACCGCCCGGCACTCGCTCTAACACTAAAGACGAGATGACTAGTGAAGGACTCATTTGAAGTGCATTTTTGACAAGGACCGGTGGACATCCTATTTCCACATTCTGTCCGGGTTCTAGTCAATGTTCTGCACCAGATCATCCCCTGTGGAGATGCTCCACCCTTAGCCCGAGGCAATCTCCATTCTCCCTATTCAGGAAAGTTTCCATGTCTGCCTTTACGTTTACACTCCTTTACGATCGTAGTAGTTTTTCAATAGTTTTTGTTGCTGTTCAAGTGACTTGTGATTAAAGTATTTAGGGTTCATAAGAAAACGGGTTCTTAAAAAATAGTCACCTGTACATATAGGTGGATATTCCTTCTGAGCGCCGCTGCCTCTGGGGATCCGAGAGAAGATTTTGATGAGCGCTAAACTTCCAAGTTTGATTCTGTGCCAATTGTTCCACACTGAACAATATGAAAATGAGGAAAATAAGAAAAATGTTACCTTCAATTCCCTGACTATTGCAAAAAACGCAGCTGTATCAATAATGATAACAATAGCACATACGAATGTAGAATACAGAAAGGCAATATAAAACGATACGAATTGACCAAGTTTGGTAGGAGGATATTCCCAGAGGAATGATTTGGAGTCGAAAGGAAACGGCAATTGATCTTCAAGAATGAGTCACATAGGACGGAGAGATATAGTGATGCTCAAAAGTATTGGTAATGAAATTTTCGTATTCTATTCCTTTTCGTTTGACGGATAACTTTCCGTCGTCGTTGAAAAAACAACGCTCAAAGGGGATTGGGTGTATTCACGATTATTAAAAGGGTCGTGATAACAGATTTTTTGACGAGACTTTTTGAAGTGTTAGCTTCAATGGGATTGTTTGATTTTTTGACAAACTCTCGGTAAGAATGGCTTAAATACTCTGATTCAGAGAATGCCGCCTCTTAAGGCACATTTTCCTTGGGCACGTTTCCTTCTCTCTCCTCTCCCTACCTTCACCTCACCCCTCCCCTGCTACGGCAGTTGGAGGAATTCTGAGTCTAGTTGGATGTGTCACATGATGTCAGAATCAGACAGTGCAAAAGCTGCCGTGGTGGTGAAGAGTGGTAACGTTACGTAAGTTTATATGGGAGGTGGGAGGTGTAGGATTCAAATGGGTTCACATAGGATGGGCGTGGATCCCGGCGCACCCGTGCCGTCGAGGATTCGAGAAGAGCACCAGAGAAGTAGAGTGCCGGCACCCTCACTTACGAATGTCACTATACACTATTGACATTATTTCCTCGAGACTTTTTCAATACCCAAGTTTCAAGGTTGCAGGGAATTTAAAGGGAAAAATCTTCATTAAATGTTCTACCTTTTTCTACGAAAAACTTAATGCACGAGAGAGGTTTAGCAATCCCTTCGTCTTTACTTAACTTAGTCAAAAATATAAGTTTCTAAACTTTACATCGCTGTATGTATTTAGTGGTGCCTAAGGCACTCTCAGTCTTCGCAGTCTCCTTCTTCCCTCTGTCAGTCCCCTTCTTCCCCTAGCTCCTTCCCTTCAATGCTCAGGTCCTGTAATATTCTGTAACACTATAAAGTTATTGAATTGTACTTGAATTCATTTAGTAACTGAATTGATTGCATTGTTCTTATTGTTCTTCGGCTTATATGACAACTCTAAATGATTTTTTTGAATTTATTGTCCTTTTTCGTTTATCTTTTATGCATTCTTATAAGTCCCTAATTCTTCATGCAACTCTCCCTTTCCCATCCTAGTTATTAAGTTTTGTTCCCTACTCCCGTATAGCACATTACACACACATGGAGATGGCCATGGTTCCTTAGGAGAGGTTGGCGCAGTAAGCCGGGATCCAGCCCCAACCCGTCTGGGGCTTGCAGTGCTTGGCCGGACACTGCCCTTCCCCTCCTAGCATACAAAGGACCCCTCTTCCCTCTCCCTCTTACCTCCTTGCCTCTAGTATTACTACACTGTAAAGCATGAAGCATCAATGCATTTGCCATTGATCAATCCCTTTCTGGGATACGGCACACATTCTACTTACATTTGTACGTTTTTGTAATACATTCTCTAATTTGTGGCCATCCCTCCCTGTCACCGCTGTGCAATACTTAAAATGAAAAATACTGTATGTGCATAAATCTTTTGTGTAGACAAAATCTCTCAGTACGCAACTGCGCTAACAATCTGCAATTTATAACAGTATGTAAAAGATTTCGTAAAACGCTCTGTGATGTTTACGTAAAACGATAGTAATGCTGTCAGAGTGGCGATAAAAATTCATGCAAACCATACCAAAAAGGTAGGGAACACCGTGAAGAAAGCCAAGAATCCAAAATACCACCAGAATTTGTTTGGTTCTTCTTGTCGAGAACATGGAACTGCAATACAAAGAGTCATCTGAAGTTGGTTGAATGAAAAAAGAAAGCGCCTTGAAAAAGCTATAACAAGAGCAGTCTTTCACATAATATTAGGAAGCGGATATTGCAGAATTCGGGAATTAAAATTATTTCCCACAAGATTCTCATCTGCTCGTCTGAAGCCTATATTGGAGGGGTGAATTCAAATCGGAATAACTTCGCATTCCTACATGCAGTTTAGTAGAGTGGTTTCCTTCGTCATAGTTGAAGAGTGAATTTCATCATAGGCGCGTTTAATAACGTGTAAAAAAGTTTAATCCAAGTAGAAGACTGGTGTAAATATACTATAATATACTTGTGTAATATACTACTACTCGCTGCTCGTCTGCTTTCTTTCACTACATAGTACTACTGTCGCAATCCAAAAAATTTTGTTACTGGCCATGACGAGGCCTACTGTGGACAGCCGCCGTGACACCCAATGGGTGCCCTTCATGGTGTCCTGAGCAGGGTCAACGCTACGTTGTTACGGGTGGGGTCGTACCTGGTTAAGTTTGCAGGAGGGGGAGGGGGTCGTACCCTTTAGTCGCTCGAAATCGCGTGTGAGGTTGAGGTGAAACTAAGATTTTGTGGGTAGTAGGCTGGGCGAGTGGAGGGCGTGCAGTAGTGTAGTATAAAAAATTGCCGTTTTAGGGCGCTCAAAAAAGATGAGTTGACTTGGTGGAAATAGAGGGAAATTTTGAGATATCTACCGTCCCCCACCCGCTCTGACGGGCATTTTTGAGAAAAAGTGGCGGTTTTGATGGAAGTTGAGAGGAGGATGTATGGAAAAGGGTTACTCCCTTCAGAGGCCCGTGCGCGCGGCAAAGAAGGTCTAGTAGTGCGGTACGAGTAACTCTGGCGCTTCTTTGAGCTTTTGTCAGGATCGCGCTCAAGTTAAATAGAGTGGTTCACCTACTGCTACCATCCGCATACCAATACGAGCAATACCGCCACTGTGGCCACACAGATAGCTAGAAATTTCCCGCCCCGCTGGCTAACTGCACTTCTCCGCCTCGCAGGAGCAAAATTAGAAATATGCTTCATTATTTCGAGAGCCTCTTTCGGGGAACCCTAGTTGAAAGTGTACGTGTCAACATTCCACCTCTTGCTGAGGCTCGGACGTGAATCTATGTTATAACAAAGTAACACACTATAACGAAGCCCCTGGTCCTGAGTAGCTGGAGAGCTGACTGCATGCGAACCCCGCGCCCAGCATACTAAACACTCTCACCGTGTAATGCTATTTCAGGTAGCGTTCCTATCTCGAGGTAGGTACTAGGCGTATCACATAGCCGTTTCAGAGCTCGAGAGTAAAGGAGGTGTAATCGAGGCAACCAAGAGGAGAGAGAATTAGCATCTGTAGTGCAAGTCCATTCATTCCAAAAGTGGTTGTAACGGAGATCATGAATCAAAACTTGTCCAAGATTGCAAGATAGCATGGAGATCGGTAAAAGGTGTATAGGGACTAGCAAAGGGGGGAGGTCAAATGCTGACTGTTGGCAGGCGTGCGTATATCTGAGCGGAATATAAGCTGAGATTGGCAGCCTGAAAGCTAGCAGGAAAATTCAGAAGCTGAAAGAAGGAGGAGCAGAGCTTCAAATCTGATAGGCGAAATTCGCGCCTAGGTAAGTATTGAATTAGTAATCCCGACTACCACGCTGCCTTCTATGCTGTCCGGTACTGTGCGGAAACAAAATCTTAACTCCACAAATTCATTAAAATAATGTGATCTTTTGGGAGTCAATCAAATGAAAAGAAAAGGTCAAATTAAAAATCAGTGGAGAAGCCCTTTTTCAACAAGTATCAACGCACGTGTATAACAGTGGAGAAGAAATGGCCAGCAGTCGATTGAGTGAGGTTTGCAATTGGCTATAGATAGAACAATAAAAGAATGACACGGCAAGTTGACCCATTCTTCCACCGAAATAGGTGTGAGTTACTGTATCAGGAAAATTGCTGAAATATAATTAGCATAGCTTATTTTTATGGGTCACCAACATACTATCGAGAAAGGTAAGAAACATATTGAACACAAATGACAAGAACAGTTGTTTGCGGTCTTAGTGCTTTCTCTATAACGATAGCGGAGTCTTTTGCTTACCACGATACTGTCACACTATTTCTCACGAGCATTGAATTGGGAGGGCCGTCAAATTTCGCTATTTCTGAGATGTCAAGCCCTACTTCCTAGGAATGTGATCGGGTCGTGTTTGTGACTACTTTGTGTGATATTAGCAGTCGCTCACTAACACTTGTAGGGTATGCCATGATTAGGTTAACAAAATAATCATGTAAGGAGAGCACAATCCGAAGTCGAACACGATTAATTTCTGAAAATATATGCGAGGCTTCATAATACTCAAAAGCGCGATATTTGTAGAAATTCTTCTGGTACGAAGACCTATAAACCCTTCTAGCATGGAGCTATACTACACGTAGCATGTCGGTTACCGTCATAGATGGGGAAGTGTCCAACGTTGAGGAAAGACTCAGATCCAAGACAAATGCACGCTCACCAGCTGGACTTATGAACCTGGAGAGAAGCGCCAAATCGTTACTCTCCACCATTTTTTCTTTCCTTCTTCTTCTCACTTCTTGTGTCAGTTCCAATGCCCTTTTGTGGCATCATTACTTGGTTACTCACAATTTAGAAAGAAAAAAGGCTGTGAGGCCGTTATTTTGAGTATGCTTAGAAGAAGAGAATTGTCAATGATAGCTTTATTTGCTTTGTTTTCAATCAGCGTGCTAGCAGAGAAACGCTGACGGTAATAAATAGGTAAATTTAGCTACAGTCGATTTCGGAACTCACAATAATGCAGCTGGAGCAGACCAAAAAGAGAAGACGATGAGCACACCAACATCGGCGATCAAATGGGAAGCACAGATGTAGCCAAAAGCATTGTGAAACGAGGGTGTGCGATAGATCAGCACTATAGCCGAGATATTCGCCACCATTCCAATGACGCCAGTCTAAAATCATTGTGGTAAGTTTAGCCAACAAAAACAATGTTTTAGCCCAGCAAAGGAAGTAACAGTAATAGAGCTGCTGTGACTGCACGTTTTGGACCAGATGATGAATGCACTACTCAGGAGGAGAAATTAGTATGAATTTGATTTTGATTTGCTCTCTTCAGTAAAACGTGCAGTTGACCGAAGCTATCTTAGTTATTCGGTTCATGTTTTTGTAGAAAAAAATCTATTTTAGTGAGTGGTAGTGTGAGTAGTCAATCAAATTTGGAAGGTACTATGCGTCGTCTACTCCTACTGCAAGATTCCCAGGTAATAGCTACTGTTCTATTACGCTTCTTCGAAGCTACGTTTGCATGTACGCGCACTCTTGCCTCAGGTGCCATGGTTGTCCAAAAAGTAATACGGGTTTTTGACCTTCACCTTCTGCGCGGTAAATCTCAGCTATAACCAGGGTGAATAACGGTCGAGGAAATCCTTGACAGGGGGTCGTATTTGCTCCGATGAGGGTTGGGAGGGGGTTGTAATCAAAAGGTTCGTCAACGGACACAACGGTGCTGCTGCCACTTATTTGCTGTCATCATTACTTCAAAAGTGTTGTAGTTATCCTAATGCAAATAATATCTTACAACTGTCTGGAATTAAAGTTCAAATGGAAAGCGGTTGTTGGTTCAGTATGGCATAGGAAGGCAACGCGTCCTGCAACAGAATCGTAGGGAAAGGGCAGTGAGTATCAACTCTAGAATGATGTACATGCTTCGAGAACTTAGTGGAGGAACAGCATCTTGATAAAAAGTTCAAAACAGGCAGATTCGCAGCCTTCTTGGCATCATCAGATCTGCAACCGCAAGCTGTCACTCATCAGAACGATTGGAAAGGAAGCGTTTTGAATAAAGGAGTGATCAGACATCACTAGACACCACAAATGTTATTCTAATTAGTTAATACTGGAAATATCTTTTGGTGTGATAAGCAATTCGTCACTAGGACAAAACACCTTCCCAATAACTCCGAGTGGGGTCACTGCATGGCGCACACAAGAAAGGAATGGATCCGCGCCATCCGAATCTCATTTACTCCGGTCGAACTGACGCGTACAGAAGTATTTGAAGGTGTTCAAAGAAGTTTCCTACTACGGCAAGGGAGTAAACGAGTTTTCGAGTGACTTCGAGAATTTCCTTGTCATTTCCCTCGACGCAGATTTCTCGCGAACTAGCAAGCGTTCGAAACAACTGGAGCACCTATCAAAAAGCGTAAATCTTCTACTTTACAACACTTTCCTCCGATTCCAAAGAATTGCCAATGAAGACAGCTACTGTCCTCCAAAGAGTGGAACTCGCATGTGAATTTCCAGTTTCCTCGACAAATCCTCGACGTCTCGCACTCTCGAGAATAGGCAGCTTAGAAAACGCTTAGCACAATTTAGAAACTAAAAGTCTGCGCATTCAAAAGCGCCTTCAGTCTCTGAAATGTCATCAATGAAGAAAGTTATAGTCCTTTGAATAGGGGATCATTTGACGATTTTCTAACTAGCGCGCTCTAGCACACAGCGCGCGACGTGATCACTGTTAGTTAGCGCCGCTATACTGGCGCGCGCGAGACTGTTCAACTGCCTAGGGGTATACCTCCCTCAATGTCCTACGCTTTCGGCCAATGTGGCAAAGGTTAAATGTCTTCAAAGGAAAGAAGAAGAACCAATCTGAGCAGAAATGAAATCTAGCTTCTTGGATTAAGCCGCATTCGCGAGGCGAGCGGTCCTGCGTCCTCTCGCACATCTGAAACTAGCAGTTTTTGCTATGAAACCAGATGTGCTGCGCAAAAAGAGGTCGTATCGGAGTCCAGTTTTGGAGGGTCGTAAAGAGGCGGTTATTTCCGACACCAGTTTCACCCTGGCTATAACACCGACATTTCTCGATTCGAAATTGTTGGTAACTACGCCATACTTACAATGAATGCATACGGAATAAATACGACAACTCAAATATGGGGCACGTGAAGCGCGGAATCGTCGAAGTCACTTTTCATATGCGCGCTTTTAAATACTTTCTTGCTGAAGAAGCTGCCGAATAGTGGAGATTGGTAAGCGGTGTGTGGGCGCATTCAGTAAGCAGATTTGATACCCAATGTTTCAAGTTCTTGTAAGGTCGATTGTGCGACAATGACTGAGCGTCGTTCAGAGAGATTTTTCTACTTCTCTTGGGTACAGATCCTGCGTTTTTGGGCTCTCACCGTCGTGCCGGACGAAAATTTTTGCTGGATTAAGTTCATCAAATTTGGAACGCCGTGATGTTCATTACTGTTTTGACCACATCATCAACGTATTATGAAATCATCAACGCAATCCTCACTTTATGAAACTGAGCCTTGAAATTTTGGAATGTGGAGTTTCATCTTAGCCTAGGTTGGAAAATTCGATTTCAATGTAAAGGATCCATTGTTCGTCTAGGAACGGATAGTTCCAAAAGTCAGTCGTTTTTGTTAAAGAATCCTCACACGGAAAAACCATGACTCTATTTCAGCCATAAATCGTGAGTTTTGAGACTCATTATCACCATTAGAATGAGAAGAACAGGAATAATGCTTTAGTTTGGTACAAAATTCGAAAAATCGAATGGTTGCTACGCGTTCAAATCCCCACGGACACCTTTCACAAATGCTGGCGACGGGATGCTTCCGCTTGGTTCTTGGAGTGATTCCACTAGAAATTTTTCAGGCCTCTTAACTTACTACATTCACATCTCACGCTTCTACTCCATCCTATTCTATCGATTGATTTGTCTCTACTCTCCGAATGCGCCCTATTACTCGGTCTTTCATTGCGTCGCCTGATATTAGCCGGCCGAAGTCCAAGTTCTTTCCATGCCTCGCCTTTGGCTCCGCCCTGCATTACCTTAGATGGTCATAGCGTGCAGTTTTGGACGTTTGTTTCTCTTTGAGAACTGAATGTTCATGCGTGAAGCGGTTGCAGTGATCACAACTGACACATTCATGTCAAGAATGAATGCAGAAAATTTCCGCGAAGGATTCCTTTAAGTACGAGCTGCGTTGAGATCTCTAAACGGTGAGATTGCCGCTACTCACGCGGAGTTCATGCGGTGTCCATTTGTAAAACTTTATCACCTTCTCTATTATCTTCTGCTGCCCATTATACATTTACTCGAAAACCTTCTTTCACCAGAGTAGCCAGAGGGTCGTCTTCATTGAGAGGAATGGCGCCTTTGAACGCCCTTATTTGAGGCTAAAGTTCTCCACGTAGAGAACCTTGGAGCCAAAACGCAATGTGTATTTGATGCCAGCCCATCTTCCGACTCATAGACTCATAAAAGTGAAATTGCTCCAAATATATTCGAACCCTCGAGAAACCTAAATTCGCGATTCATATCAAAATCCGGTAGCAGTACAAGGAAGAGAGTGACGAGTTTGCCAGCGACATGTAGAAGTGCAGCAGTCATCAGGAAATTTTCGTAAAAATGTTATATATGTGTAGCATGTCAGAACCCCGCATTACTTTGCACAATCCAGTGCTTCTGGTCACCCCGAATTCTTGTTTTTTTGCACTGCTCTATTATTCGCTTCATCCTCACGGATCAACCTCACAAATTTTAGACGCTTTATCTTCTATGAGTAAAGCTACCATCCTCCTTCTTGTAACCCCACTAGTTGATCTGGGGTATTCAATTTAATTCCTGCGTATGACATCCTCGGTTGACGCACGAGTCAGTTCAAGTCTACAAAACTAGAGAAAGAAGTGGGGAAATTGGAGAACACTACCGAGGCTCTTTTCGGGCCAGAACCACGTTTCGAAATTTGAGTAGTGACTTCGTTCAAATTTCAGCAGTCAAGCTTTCGCACTTAATCGACATACACAGCGAAACCGTATCGGTTACATTATTGGAAAGCCACCTAACAATAAGTTTAAGTTTTGAGGGACATTGCGTCCATATTTGAGCTATCATATGTCAGTGAGTCCGTCAAGGAAATTAGACAGCAAAGCCTTAGAAGTGAGATGGTCTTCTTGAGGGTAGCGCTGGATTAGCTGAGTGGCACAGAGTGGATGAATACAGTATAACCTTTTGTATGCTGGAAAGCTTGAAATTACTCGAACTCACCGATAAAATTATTGCTCCTGCGATCACTCCGTCTAACCGATCCTGGCCATCGGAGAAATTCATAAAAGGCGAACGGTCCTAAAAATGGTTGAACTCCAGAGAGTTGCAGGTAGAGTCATAAACGAGCAAAGGATGGGGAATTGCAGAATAAGTGTGTATATTTAGTATGCATATGGAGGAGCTCGTAACATGTTCCTACGTTGTCGGTGTACCTGGCTTTTGAGGCGAGCCGAAACCCGCAAGGGTTAAGGTCCGCGCCGAATATTCGACTTCTTCGTACCAAAGAACCCGAAGTCTCCCGTTCATGGAGTCCGCGCGCCTTCCTTGAGCGACAAGGAACGCCCCAGCAAGCTATCCTGTGAGACGAAAATGCTACGAACCACTTCTAATCTACCATCCTCGCCTAGTCCGCTGCAACTGTTCCTGCCCAGTCCGTCAGCGTCTGGCATCATCAGCACCGTCGAAGGCGAAGAAATCCAGGCCGTACAGGCT